CTGCGGCGGCCGTGGGGCCGGGGAGCCCTTCCCCGTGGCCTCTGGCCCTCGGCGTGCTCAGGCAGTCCCCAGGACCCGAAGGCCAGTGCTGTTCCTCTCTGAGCCCCCGTGGGAGCGAGAGCAGCCAGCCCTTTCCACGCCCCTCAGCTCCCTCACTCTGACAGCTCTGCTGTCACTCTGGTTCGGGTTGGGGCTGTTTGTAGGTTCTTTTTTTTTCTTTTTTCTTTTGTTTTTTCCTTTTTCTTTTTTTTTTCCTTTTTTTTAATTTTTTTTTTTGCTACAACGAAAAGCAAACTGTTTTTTTCTTTTCTGAGCTAGTGTGTTGTATCTTGACATGTTCCCTTGCAATATCCCTATCGTTATATATTCCTCTGTGCCGTATGAATTGGCTGGGAATCTCCTCCTGCAACCCCTCCTCAAACAACCATGTGAATTTCCAAACCAACCAATGCGTGACGCTGGCTGCTGCGCTGGTTTGAAAATCTGATTGGTGAATGATGAATTCCCTGTCTGCCTGGGCCAGCAGCGGAGTCGACAGAGCAGCAGAAGGGCCAAGAGTGTGGAGGACGACGACGAGGGGCATCTGATCTATCGCGTCGGCGACTGGCTACAAGAAAGATGTACAGCCAAATCGTAACATAATTTAGCTCTCTAGTTAAGCTCCCATCGCAGTCGCAGATCTGTCTTATCTTTCTGTTTCATTTTATTTTCATTGTTTATTAAAGAGAAAAACCCTCTCCTTTTCCTTCCCCTTTTGTTAAAGCTACGTTTATATTGTGTATTGTTACTGAAGTGCCAGGGAATTAGGGCAGCTGCCTTGTGCAGCCGGTGTCAGCCTTCCGCTGCTCCGGTCTCTCCAGCTGTGTGCAGGTTAGGTGTTGCAATGCATTCTCCTCTGCCCTGTGTATCGCTGCAGCCAGGTCCTGCTCCCTCTCTCAGCTCCTTCCCTCTCCTTCTCTCCCTCCCAGATGAGATTATCAGCACCCTGGGGGAAGGCACGTTCGGCAGAGTGGTGCAGTGCATGGATCACCGGAGGTATGTGGGGGAAAGGAGAGACCGCAGCTGGCAACGGAGCCTTTTGGGCATAACGTGGGAGCCTGGGGGTGAAAATCAGTCTCCTGGTTTCCAATATCCTCTGCTGCTCCAGGCTCTCACCCTGCTTGTGTTGCCCATGTGCTGGGGAAAGCTTCAGGGCTGTTCTGTAGGGAGGGAAAGGGAAACCTTTGGTGGACACCCCTTAATGATGAGCTGCTTGAGCAAGGGAGGCTGGTCAGAAGGTCCCTTTCACAGGGCACAGCCCCTGTTACCTGCTCAGGGCTCACCTTGTGCTTTCTTCCTGTTTCTCCCACAGGGGTGGTGCACGTGTTGCTCTGAAAATCATCAAAAACGTAGAGAAATACAAAGAGGCTGCTCGACTGGAAATCAACGTGCTGGAGAAAATCAACGAGAAGGATCCTGAGAACACAAAGTGAGTGTGCCCTTGGTGTTCAGCAGGACGGGCCGGTTTCAGGGCTGGGGTGGAAGAGGTGCTTGGTGTTGTGTGGTTGAATGTGGTCCTGGATAGTTTTGGAAGCATCTTGGCTTGCTGTGAGACGCAGACTGAGCAGGGAAAGGAGGAGCCTGACGCAGGGGTGACACAGCTGAGCAGTGCCTGCAGAGCTGTTCCCAACTGGAATGTTTCTGTCAGTCTCTGTGTCAGGATGTTTGACTGGTTTGACTACCACGGCCACATGTGCATCTCCTTCGAGCTGCTGGGGCTCAGCACCTTTGATTTCCTGAAGGATAACAACTACCTGCCTTACCCCATCCACCAAGTACGGCACATGGCCTTCCAGGTGTGCCAGGCTGTGAAGTGTAAGTGTTCCCTGCTGCTCTCCCCTGCTTTGGGCTGACCCGGGGAGCTGAGTAGGTTGCACTTCTGCAACTGGTGGCCCAGAGCAACAAGTTTTTGCTGTGGTTCTGAGCCTGAGCCTTCCCGCCCCTCTGGGAATGAGTGCTCTTCATTTTCTGATGCTTGTGGGCTGGCAGTAGCTCAGAGCACTCCAGCATCCACCCCCCTTCACCTTCTGGTGATCAATACAATAAATCTTTGTGCTTCTGCTGAAGCATTGTGGCCTGGGCTTTGCCTGGCTGTTCACAACAGGTTGAAATGTGGGTTAAACTGGTGCCAGTATGAGCAAACTGAACCAGTGATGGCTTTTTTAGGGGGTGGTGCAGCCTTGTTCTGCTTCTCTCCCCTCACCCAGACTCTGTTTGCTCCCTCAGTTCTGCATGACAATAAACTCACCCACACTGACCTCAAGCCAGAGAACATCCTCTTCGTGAACTCTGACTACGAGCTCTCCTACAACCTGGAAAAGGTAACACACTGCCTCGACTTGGCTCTCCTCTTGGTGTCCCTGACCTTGCCAGAGGAGAGACACAGCCCCAGGGGTTGTGGGCTCCATGCAGTCCTTCAGGGCTCTGCATGATCTGCCAGGCAGTGCTGAGTTAGTCACGGTGACCCCAGGTGTAGCTGGCTGGTGGTGGGAGCTCGTCTGGGGCTGCCAAAACCTTCCCCTCCCGTGGTGCCCTCAGCTGTGTAAGCTCCCAGGTGATGGATCCCATTGTGCCCCTTGCAGAAGCGGGATGAGAGGAGCGTGAAGAGCACGGCCATCAGGGTGGTGGATTTTGGCAGTGCCACCTTTGACCACGAGCATCACAGCACCATCGTCTCCACCAGGCACTACCGGGCCCCTGAAGTCATCCTGGGTAAGGTGCCACTGGGTCTCTGCCAGGGCAGGTGTGCCCCTTGAGGGCACTGAGTGCTGCCCGCTGGGCTGGGGAGTGTTGGGCTTGGCTTCCACATCATTCAGGAGCTTTGTGGGTTTGCCCTGGGAGATGGGAAGTGCTTGATTGAACAGCTCCGCAGTGCTGTTAAATCTGTTTCCTGAGAGAGGTCATGGTTACAGCCCTGTCATTATTCTGGGTTTGTTTCACCTGGAGAAAAGGAGGTTCAGAGGGGACCATCTCACTCTCCACAATTTCCTCATGGGGGATTGGGCTCTGCTCCCAGGGAGCAAGGGACAGGACAGGAAGAAATGGCCTCAAGTTGTGCCAGGGTTGGACATCAGGAGGAATTTCTTCCTGGAAAGGGTGGTCAGGCATTGGAAGGGGCTGCCCAGGGAGGTTTGGAGTCCCCATTCCTGGGGGTGTCCAAGGAATGGCTCGATGTGGCACTCAGTGTCCTGGACTGGGTGACAAGGTGGGGATTGGTCACAGGTTGGAGTTGGTGATCTTGAAGGTCTTTTCCAACCTTGCTGATTCCTTGATCCATCATCAGCTGGGCGGTATATTGCCAGCAGAGCACCAGGAGCCTGGCTGGAATAGGATGTTATTTATTTTTTTTATCAGTTATTTATTTCTAAAAGAGAGAGGGATTTGGACTCTTGGGTTGTAACTGGATCATTTATTTAAATGACATTGTTTTTCAGAGCTTGGCTGGAGCCAGCCCTGTGATGTGTGGAGTATTGGCTGCATCATCTTTGAGTATTATGTGGGTTTCACCCTTTTCCAGGTGAGAACTGTGTTGTGTGGGTATTTCCCAGCTGTGAGAGGATGCTGGCTGCTTCCCTGAGACTGATGGGGGTCCCTCCATCACTGCAGTCTTGTGGAGACACCCAAGGTGTTGGCCAGGAAGGGGTTCTGGGTGGGGGAATACCCAGGGCTGGAGGCAGAACCGCTGGAATCTGTTCCATGCCTTCCCTTTACATTTCTCCCTGCCAGACACATGACAACCGGGAGCACCTGGCCATGATGGAGAGGATCCTGGGGCCAATTCCTTCTCGGATGGTCCGGAAGACAAGGTGAGCAAGGCCAGCTGGGCACTGCAGGTTTGCCAGTCCTCCTGCTCCATGGGCAGACCCCACTTTGGAGCTGCCTGCCCAGCCAGCTGTGCCCCACTGGGGCTGGCACCCTGCTGCTGCTGCTGCAGGGTGTGTCGTGCTCAGGTGTAACCTGCTGCCACCTCTTAACTCTGACAGGAAACAGAAATATTTCTACCACGGCCGCCTGGACTGGGACGAGAACACCTCAGCTGGACGCTATGTTAGGGAGAACTGCAAACCACTGCGGGTAAGGCAGCTTGGCCCCTCCTCAGATTCTCCCTCTCTGGGCCAGCAGAAGAGTGGTTGAAGGGATCCTTGGCTGTCCCAGCAATAGGAAGCTGCAGCAGCCTGAGTTTAATGTGGAGGACAAGGAGGGCATGAAAAGTTAAGGATGTGCCCGGGGAAGGGAGGGTGCGTGAAAATCTATCCGTTTTGGCTAGAGGAGTGCAGAGCTCAGCTGCAGGCTGAGTGATGGTGTGAACAAACATCTCTGAGCCCGGGGAACATCCCAGAACGGGGTGTAGCCTCCTTGAGCCTCACCTTCCCCCTCCACCTGGCAGCGATACCTGACCTCGGAGGCCGAGGACCACCACCGCCTGTTCGACCTCATCGAGAGCATGCTGGAGTACGAGCCCTCCAAGCGTGTCACCCTGGCCGAGGCCCTCAAGCACCCCTTCTTTGACATGCTAGGCATGGAGCCCAGCACAAAAATGTGGGACTCGAGCCGGGACATCAGCCGGTGACGCCACAGGTGCCAGCCAGCCCTCGGATTCTAGCCCCCGTGGAGGCCTGTGTGATTTCTATTCAGACACTTGGTGCTTTTTTTTTGGGTTTTTTTTTTTTTTTATACATGAGATGAACTTCCTGGATAAGTTTGTAAAGCTGTTAATATGTGAGATACTGTAAATAGCCCAGATTCTCTGTCAGCCTAGGAGCACCACGGGCCTGACCTGCTGTCGCTGCTGCCGTTCTCGTGAGGTGAGGGGGGCCTGTGTGTCCGTGCTGTAAATACCTCTTGTCCTGTGTTGCTTTGTCTCCTGTTCCTGCCCTCCTCGGTGTAAATACTCCAGGACTCGCAGCTCTCTGTAGCTTATCTGTTTCCTTGTAAGTTATGGAACTGGTGGGACTGCATGGGAATTATTTTTTGGATCAATGTCATAGCCCATCCCCACACCAGAGTTTTATAAGAATTTTGTACAGTCTTTGTGAAAAATAAATATGAAGTGAATAAAGCACCTGGTCTGGGTTCGGCCCGGCAGCAGCTGAGCCTGGGGTTGTTCTGCTGTGCTCTGTGGGGAAAAGGAGAGATTAAAGGAACTTTGTGATCCAGCTGTACCATTCCTACACTGAGCAGGAGCTGCTCTTGGCCATCAGGGCTGCAGCTGGACCTGAGCAGATGTTGTTGTGTGGGACAGAAGATCAGGGACTGGCCCTTTCTTCATGGCCTGGGTCCATTTTTGGGGTGGGAGGCACAGAAAGGACAGTGGGGCCCTCGGAGAGCTGCTCTCTCACCTGAAGGAACCTCTCAGCCTCAGCTGGGGGGGGGGTGGCTGTTGGAAAAGGGGTTGTCAGGAGCCCACATCCAGCTGTCCTACACCCACCCCAGGCCTGGCTGTGGCTTTTTGACTTTTCCCAGCTCTGCAGGGAGGCTGGGCCTTGGTTTGAGCTGTTCCCTGGGCGTTGCTGGGGCCGTGTCACAGCTGATGGCAGTGGGGAGAGTCTCACTGGGGTGTGGGTGACAGACTTCCTAGCCCTCTGCTGTGGCACCAGCAGGCTGGGCCAGGCTGTCACCATGCCGAGGGGAGAGGAGAAGTCTGGTTTCACCTGGAGGGAGCGTGGGGAAGGGTGACACTGACACAGTGATCTCCATGGGCTCACCTTCCTCCTGAGGCAGCAGGGGCAGCTCCTGTCCCACTGCCCCGGTTAAATCGACTGTGTCGTTTCTTAGAATTCAAGAAAATCACAAATTCATGCTGCTGACCGTGGAGCCGGGGGCGATGGATAGCGGGACACTGGGGAGTGACGGGAGGTGGATACCGGGACACCAGGAGGCGATGGGCGATGGACACCGGGACACCGGGAGGTGACAGGCAATGGATACCGGGACACTGGGGGGGCGACGGGCGATGGATACCGGGACACCGGGAGGCGACGGGCGATGGATAGCGGGACACCGGGAGGCGACGGGCGATGGATAGCGGGACACCGGGAGGCGACGGGCGATGGATACCGGGACACCGGGAGGTGACGGGCGATGGATACCGGGACACCGGG